GCGCTCCTTGAATCCAGCTTTAAGTTCAATTCTGAAGCAACAGCAAAATAGCTCAGAATGGGGCGAGAAAGTTCGCAAAGTAATAGCGGCTGGAATCAATAGGCCAAAGAAAGGCCATCATGCGAATGATCGTCCGCCTATAACACCCATGAAACATGCAACCAGAAATGAACTCGATGGCGATTTATGGAGATTGTACGATTATATAACGCGACAATTCAAACGCATACACACACACACATAGGCTGCATTCGGGAAGCGCGCTATTAGCGCTATTTGCTTATTCTATCCTTGTTTTACATTTAATGAGCGATGAAGATAGAATGATACAATAGCGCTAATAGCACGCTCTCCGAATGCAACCATATACATACATATATATTCATATGGAAGCATTCGTAAATCTTACATGAACTACTCGGGCCAGTTTCTTTAAATTGTAATTTTAAAAATAATTTATTTTGTTCATATAATAAATATATACAAATAACTGCTTCATCATAGAGGAACCTTTCTGAACAAAATTAAATGTTAATTTCTTAATATGCAAATTTATAATTAGCATTCTACATTTACGCTTTAAAACTATGAGAAAGTAATGTTCAAATTTCTAATTTGAACACTTTAAAACTATGAGGAAGCAATGTGCAAGTTTCTACTTGCACACTTTTATGTTATATGTTATTATTTTGCGATTGATATTTTTTTATCACCTTTTGTATTCGCCATGGGTAGCGACTGTTGCGCGTCCCTAGCGGCCCCGAGCAGAATCTTCCAAGTCGTGCATCGATGTGATTCAAAGATTGGCGGATGCGTATGCGAGTTGTAAAATAAATTTTTTAATAAACTTTAGTAAAACTTCCAAAAAAGTAGAGAAAATAAAAATACTGTCCTTGTTCTTAAAAAGCTCGGATTTGTTTGGTCCACCACACGAAATTAATTTAGTTATTAATATAGCTAATAGAATAAATATATCTTGCATGTTTTTGCAAAGCAGGCCATTCTGGTAAATGTAAACATATATAGGGTCTGTTTTCTGTTATTATTTTTATTTTTTCTACTTTTTTGGAAATTATTCCAACATACATAAGGTGGTTTGCCTTCTCTCCTTCAACATACGCTCTCAAACCACCTCCAACATAATCAATTGAGTTTTACTAAGGTTTATTAAAAAATTTATTTTACAACTCGCATACGCACTCGCCGATCTTTGAATCGCATCGATGCACGACTTGGAAGGTTCTGTTCGGGGCCGCTAGGGACGCGCAACAGTCGCTACTCATGACGAATTATAAAGAAATAATTTTCTTATGTTACAGTGTTTCCCATGGTGTAAAAAACAAGGTGAAGCATTGCGCATAATGGCGGCAGCTTTGGCGGTTGAACCAATCAGGAGGCGACCCATTTTGTTGCGCTCACTTTAAGGTGAAGTTCGCTTATAAGAAATAAAAATGTGTGAACCATGTAAAATTTTAGATAAAACCTTAAATAAATAAATAAACTAATGACAATTAAACTTACATTTATTAGTTTATTTATTAAACTTCTGTTTTAATTCTGTTCTAGTTTGGTTACGTAATTTGATTAGTCAATTAACCGCACGTCCACAGTGTAGATTCTGAATTATAGTGTGAGGAAGAAGGGTTGAAACCTCGGTTGAAACGCAATTTACTTAAATAATAATAAAAAGACATATGTAACGAAAAAAATAAATATTTTATTCAAACAGAATAAAATTAGGTAACGTTTTTTATAATTTTAACCTCCCTCATTTCGTGAAGAGCGTCTGAGGTAATATTTTTCGCAATAAATTTTTTAATTTTTTAAAATAATTAAAAACACATTTTTTTAATGTTAAAAAAACGTTTTTTTTACAATGTTAAAATAAATACAGCAAAAATAAGAATTTAAATCGCCAGTAAATAATGAAAAAATCAATAAAATAAATACTTTTTTAATAAGAAAAAAAGAATCTGTTCTATTAATTTAAACGTTTTTTAAATATTTTTTTTATTACTAAAAATGTTTTTAAAAACGTTGAAAAATATTTTTTTGCTACTTGGGTTATTTAGCAAATATCAACCAATATAAATGCCTCTCAACATTAATTATATTTACTACTTAATGCGTATGTTTTATTAAAGTCGCAAAAGTTAAACACAAAATATTTCCCGCACAACAGACGCACGCGACGGATAACGGACGTAACGGACTATGAATTGATGGAAGCAGCCATATTGCTTTTCTCGCCAAAAAGGTCGCGCGCTGATTGGTTCAAAAACTGAACGAGTGCGCAGTATCGGGAATGCTTCACCTGTATATTTACACCATGTATATATATGTCTATTCATATTGTCTATGCTTTTATCTTAAGTACGTCTTGAATTTATTTCGTTGGGCAAGTAGAGAATAAACGGTACAAACATTGAGACTTTCGTGACAGCTTTACCACCTGCCTTCAAGGCATATCTGACTTACGGGCTCGCCCGCTGGGCTGTCCCGGCCCAAGAAAGCGCAGAAATGTCAATAAGGAAGGCAGTCCATCGTCTTGTGCAAAATGGTCGCGTCATATTGCGTTCATTACAAAATAACGAGCGCTTCCATTTACGAGGGTACACACATAACCTTGACAAGATACACGTTGCACAGACAGGTAAATTATGCCAGACTTTGTTACAATGAATCTCGCCATGAAGTTCGATGATATATTGCAACACGAATCATGAGCAATACTATAATGCTCTAATCTCACACCTTTGCTCGGATAACAGGCATGCTATCTGTAATTGGAAAACTAAATTCTATAATAGCATTGTAACATACATTTTTATAATATAGAAACATTTACATTTTACATTGTGAGACAATTCTATTCAATTATAAATTAATTATTTATAAAAGTAAAAATGTAATTAGGATGCAAAAGCATTGATAACATAATTGATTCCATGTAATTAGTGCATGTAATCAAGGCTTTGTCAATATGCTATTTTCTATCATATTGCACAGTCGTCGCTTTATCTTTGATTTGTAAATATTTGTATACTGTTAGCAACAGGTGTTCAGGTCAAAACATTAATTGGTATTCAGTGGTTTTATATTTGTGTACATGACAGGCAAGCTCCAGAATAGTGACCTTCTTTGCCAAAATACTGGCAATATATGGAGTACAAGGAGACATCTCGGTTATTTGGGTACACATGCTCAACGCATCTTTGTTGACAATATTTTGAAAAGGGTAACTAATAGCTTAGCAGCAGATTTACGAAGACGCACGGCAAGTAGACTTGTCTTTGGCGATTCTGCGCCATTCTTTGCTCTTGTTGGCATATCATTAGCTTCAGGTACAGGAATATTAACAAAGGATGATGAATTGGAAGGAGTATGTTGGGAAATCCGGGTAAATGCATTTATTCATTTAGCTTAATCTAGATACTTAAATAAAACCTGTTTTTTTTTTTTTTTCTTCCAAATATGCTACCATTTTTGTAAAATCTAATCTAAAATATAATATGTTGTCCAGGAAGCAGTCTTGAAGTTACGATGGAATATGCTGCGAAATGATGAAAATTATCAAACTATTTTTCCTGATGAGAATGTTATAACTTTACGAAATTTTGTAGTAGGACCTATAATTGCTAAAGGTTGTTCCGCTGCTGTATACGCAGCACGATTTGTAAATATGCAGGACAAAGATAATTTAATAGATATTGATGTTGAAACAAAAGACACGAGTGTGTTCCCATTAGCTTTAAAAATGATGTTCAATTATGATGCAGAATCCAATGCTACTGCTATTCTAAAAGCCATGTATAAAGAGACAATACCTGCTAGAAAACATTATGAAAATGATAACTTGGCTATTTGGGAGCAAAAATGGGCAGAAAATAAAATCACGTTACCACCTCATCCAAACATTGTGGCAATGTATTATGTCTTTACTGATGAAATACCGATACTACCTGGTTCTTTGGGAATGTATCCTGATGCTTTACCGAGTAGAATTAATCCTCATGGATCAGGCAGAAATATGAGTTTGTTTTTGGTGATGAAAAGGTTATTTTTAGATAACAAAATTTAGGAACAAGATAACACTTATATTATTATATTTTCACAATATCTAATACATATCGCATTATTTTAGATATAATATTACTTTGAAACAATATGTAACGAGTCGAAATGTTGATATGCGAGTATCAATATTGTTACTCGCTCAGCTCCTAGAAGCAGTAGTTCATATGAATACAAACGGCATAGCGCATCGGTAAGACTGATTATCTCATTATCCTATATTAATTACATAAACATTCATTCTATTAATTAATGAGATTTATCTTGGATTCTTTTCTTTTTTGTTAATGTTTACAAATTAGAGATCTAAAAAGTGACAATATTTTACT